GCCGACCTCCTACAAACAGAGCCACCATCCCGATGAACCTTGTAGATGATGGATTCTCATCCGTGAAATGAAATTTATCTCTCGTTGTTTCAATGCGACCCTCCGTGAAATGGATAGCAAGCCCTCGACCTGCGAACAAGAGGAGGAGCGTGGTATGTAGCGCGGTTACACAAGAATGGCCGAGGTATACGACTATACCATCCGATGCTAGCAGCATTTGTTGCTCAACCCCGCTTGACCCACATGGCCATCACTTGTGATGATCAAAACAAGGTGCAACGTCAATGAAAACGGGATAAAGACTGACTAAAGGAAGATAAGGAAAATCACTGACTCCGCAATGGTCGAAGATATCTTTTCAGTTGCTTCTTTGTGCTTGTATTTTTCCTGAGACGATCTGGAGCAGTTGGCATCACCAGAATGCATCTGGCTTGTAACCTCTGCTGTATGCACAGCTCCATATTACTGCAATTTGCTACACATTTCTTTAGACCAGGTTTCCTCAATCAGTAGGGCATAAAACTCAGAACCGACAAGTCCTGAGTTCAAGCCTTGGTCAGGATCACTCGCCCTTCTTCCTTCTAAAAATGATAAACGTGAACCATTTTGTGGGAAGGAAACAAGAGACTTCACGTTACAACTGCCACATAGACGTAGACTCTGCCTTTAAAATAAAGCGTTCTTGGCTGATGGCAGAGAAAAGGAAATCAGCGCTGCACCATCCATTTCGTAAAAGAAAAAGGTCCAAAATGTCCCAATGATGAAAGTGGATGAAAACTGACAACGACTTTGCTGCATTGCATGGAAGAAAATATTCCTCTGCCAACGTGGATCTGTCTGTATTCTTGTTTCTCATGGTCAACGGCTGTTTATTTCGGATCCCACGTGGGAACGTTCCTGGACTTGAGCAAACGGCTCATGCTCAACCGGTTTACGCAACACAGTAAACCTCCTTTTCATAAGCCCCATGTCTACGGAGGCACACTATTGCCACACTCAAAATATGGCCGTTTCTCATTTGTTCTGTCATAAACCTTCATTATCTTTCGAAGTCACCCACCTGCTGTATACAGTTCAGGCGTAGATTTGTTTCTTTCCTGGAACAACTATTACCACGCTACCCAAAGCAGCTGCCACAAAGGATAGGCGAAATTTTTTGTGGGAAAGGCTACCCCTTTCTCAGGCCAAATACTTTACCGGCTTCCAAAACACTTGAGGCTAGAGCGATCTTCCTAAGTCCGACCGGTAACTCAGTCTGAATGATACCACTGCCGGAGATGGTAGAACTTATGTTTTCGGTTATCAACTGGTATCAGATTATAACTCGATCAATCATATACGAGCATCACCGCAGAGAATAAGATGTACGGCATGATGTTTCATTGGCCTTCGTCGAGGATCAATACGGAGAATAGTTTCGTTTGGGGGTTTACTAGATTCATTTCGTTTTTAGCAGATTTTTGCTTGAACGATATAATATGGACTGTCGGGCCGCTGTTGAATCATTGCTTCGTTGGCAGACTGTTTCTAAATTCCTGACGGACTTTTACTGTAACAGATGGCAACTTTATCGCGGCCCCCGTGGCGTGCTATCGACCCAGCGGTCATCACACTTAATATGAAAAGAGCTATCGTATTGGTTAAAAATTATACGATCTATCGCATGTGTTCAACAAAACGATCCCCAGCTTTGATTGCTGCCAATTTTTCATGATTTCAATTCGAGGGGTTTAGGATAGCGGAAATCTTAAGCATCACAAAATGAGCATCAAATAAGGCGTTAAATTCGCTTGCCTCGCCTACCTCTGCTAGCAGGCAAGGCAAAATTAGTACAGAAGGTAAACAAGTGAGGGATTGGTGCGATACACAGTTTTGGCTGCAGTTGCGTCTAGATTTTGCTAGCGAATTAAGGGCGTTCAACGCGTTCAGCGCAGAACGATCAGCGCGGATCGATCAGCTATGATTAATGCCATATAAAGTAAACAAATTCGACTTGTCTGTCTGTAGCTGACAGTTAGACATGTATAATAGATATCTCGTTTCAGATAACGACGGTTATGATCGGCGCTTACATGAGGGATATTCTTATTAAGAGGCAAAGAAAAAATGCGCTCCGCGTCGTCAACAGATCGCTGGCGTCGTGTCGTGCGGATCTGAGGGTTTGTTTCCACAAGGCGATCGTTAAATGGTACCCTACAGCATGAAAACCTATCTCGTCAAATATCTGCTTGCTTGCTCACAAAATAGTAAAAGAATTTAGATGGTATTTCAACGGTGTGATTTTCCTGCGGATGTAGTACCTTCAAAATTGCTAGTTACATCACGAATATGTTAGGTGCTACAAGAACGATTTGTAATTTTTCATTTGTAACAAGCATAAAAGATGGTCAGTGCGACAAGATCAAGAAACGGCAAGATACAAATGACGAGAAATTATTGTATAAGAACTAGAAAGTACACAAGACGAGACGATTCCTATGAACCCAGGTTATCAATATTGAGCCAAACCATTTTCGTAAAATGTAGCGGAAATAACGATCAAAGCAGGGCCTGGAGAAAGGGGGAAAATGCGGCTGAAGAAAGTACTCTCGTCGGCTGGTATGATGGCCCTGATTCTTGAAATTGTTCGAAAAGAGCAGCGTGGAGGTCAGGGACTAATCGGTCAATCACTTCAGACCCTTGAATCAAACACATCCAAACGAATAATATTGTGCAAATAATTGTGTGAAGCCGCAATGGTGAGAAATCGTCTGTTCTCGAATCCATCTACGCATCGGTCATCACTTATGGTCACAAGTGGACATTGACAATAAATGCTGTCCTAAGTGCCAGCGACAGAAATACGGTTTCTTCGATGTGATGTCAATGTTGCGAAGCTCTACAAATATTTGAACAAGGTAATAAAAATACCATCGATCCTTCTCCCGATGGAGAAATCATGATTATTTTGATTTGGATATGTCATCAGAGAGGTCAGACGTGGATTCTATACTTAAGGCTACATGGACATTACAGATAGAAAGGCGAATATCCCCAGTAAATTGTACGTTTCGTATTTTGAGTCTTGAAATGCACTTTTTAGGCTAGCGAAACGAAGGAACTGAGGAAAATACTAAAAAAATTCTTACAACTTATATCTCTGTAACT